AATTTTCGAAGCCAAAGTCCAGAATGGTGGATCCACCGTGTCCAAGATTTGCAAAATTTGTCGAAGAAAAGGTTCGAATGACAAGTTCATTTGCATGGAATTCTCGTAACAGGAATGTTTCCGAAGCAACTACAGACAATCCAAGAACCCCCTTGCTTGGGACTCCCGCTGAAGAAGAAGATGACGATGAAGAGGTGTACATGATTGCAAATTTTGAAGTGGCCAAGAGATCTGGTAGGAAGTGGAGAGTTTTTGAGTTGTTTGCATTTGCTTTCATCATGGGGTTTTTTATTGCAAGTTTGTCTCTTACTCCGTTGCAAAAAAGAGAGCTTTGGGGTTTGAAGATGTGGAAATGGTGTGTATTTATATTGGCTATCCTCTGTGGTAGACTGGTCACTGAGTGGTTTATCAATGTTTTGGTTTTCTTGATTGAGAGGAACTTTTTGTTTAAGAAGAAGGTTTTGTATTTTGTATATGGTGTGAAGAAGAGTGTTCAGGGCTTTATATGGCTGAGTTTGGTTCTTCTGACATGGGATATGCTTTTCAGCCCTGAAGTGGAGAAAACCAGTAAGGTTGGTAGGATTCTTGATTACATTGCTCTGACCCTTGCTTCTTGTCTTATTGGAGCAGCTTTGTGGTTAGCCAAAACATTGTTGATAAAGCTTCTAGCTTCAAGTTTTCAATCTACAAGATTCTTTGACAGGGTGCACGAATCAATCTTTCATCAATACATTCTCAAGACTCTTTCAGGCCCTCCCTTGATGGAGATGGCTGAAAAGGTTGGTACAACTTCAAATACTGACCAACTTAGTTATAAGACCATGCTTAATAAGAAGGAAGGGGAGAAAGGACAGGTAATTGATGCAGAAAAGCTCAAGAAAATGACACAAAAGAAAGTTTCTCCTTTGACTATGAAAGGGTTGATTAATGTGATAAGGAGTTCTGGGTTGTCTACCATCTCCTATGCACAGGATGATGATGAGAATGAACAGAAAGATAATGAAATTAATAGCGGGTGGGAAGCAAAGGCAGCTGCTTATAGAATTTTTATGAACGTGGCCAAGCCAGGACACAAGTAACATCTGTTACCCTCTCAAAGCTCTGCAATTTTTTTTTTCTGATTCAGTTTCTCTTGAATTGCCTCTTCTCATTTCACCCTCAAATATTTTAGGTACATTGAGATAGATGACCTCTTGCGATTCATGAAAATTGAAGAAGTGGAAAACTTGCTTCCACTATTTGAAGGTGCAGTTGAGACTAGAAGAATTAAGAGGAAGTCTCTCAAGAACTGGCTGGTAAAGTGCTTCATATAGTCTATATTGCATTAATATCATTAGCCCAACACATGTTTAATATATCATAATCCAGTATCTCTAAATTTTGCTGTGCACTGAAACTTCTATATATAGTTGCTGCTCACTTGTATTTGATAATTTCACAATCCCCTACTATGCATGTAATGTTGTCCTTCAATAGGGATTCTCAAATTATCAATATGTGACATAAGTTCATTTTAGAAGGAACTAATACCACTTTAAATCCAAAATCTGAGACAATAAGTTTATGAGTCTTTTTTCTTATGTATTTTTCACTGTCACTTTTACCTAAAGTGGAATAAAGACTCAGTTGAATTATTCTCAACATGTTTATATATCATTCTTGTTTCCAGGTGAAAGTCTACCTTGGACGCAAATCGCTCATACATTCACTAAATGATACCAACACAGCTGTCGATGACTTGAATATACTTGCTTCTGCTGTTGTGGTTATTGTGACCCTTATTGTGTGGCTTCTTTTAACGGGTGTCTTAACAACTGAAGTTCTTGTCTTTATTTCATCCCAGCTTTTACTTGTGGGTTTCATGTTTGGCAACACTGCTAAAACTGTGTTTGAAGCTATTATATTTGTTTTTGTGGTGCACCCTTTTGATGTTGGTGATCGATGCGTCATTGATGGTGTTCAGGTAGTTTTCAACTCTGAACTCTCTCAACATTCATTCATGAAAACATACCTGACTGACAAATTTATTATGGTTCCCAGATGATTGTGGAAGAGATGAACATACTAACTACCGTCTTTCTGAGATATGACAATGAAAAGATTTTCTATCCAAATTCAGTTCTCTCAAACAAGCCAATCAGTAACTTCAACAGGAGCCCAGAAATGAGTGATTCTGTTGAATTTGTTGTTGATGTTTCTACTTCTATTGAAAGTATTGGAGCTTTAAAGGCAAAGTTAAAAGTGTACGTGTTTTACTATTCTCCAGCTATAGATTTTAATCTTAGATACTAGTTAAACATGTTCCTTAAAACATGAGCTTAATGCAATAGTTCTGTAATCTGTGTCTATCCTCTGCTTGAGTTTTAGCAAAAAGTGGTCATAAATCTAAAATATATTGATAGACACTGATTTTTTCTTCTGTGCTTCCAAAATACTGATAGATACTATCGGATATTTTGAATGCTCAGAAAAAAAAGTCTGCAGAAAATTTAAACTGGTCACACTTTGTGTTTCAAGTCAGTTGATATTTTTGGACAAAATTTACAGATATTTGGAGAGTAGGCCTCAACACTGGCATACCGAACACGACGTATTGGTTAATGATATTGAGAATGTGAATAAGATGAAAATGGCTGTGTATGTTACTCACACCATAAATTTTCAGAACTATTGGGATAGGAGCTGCCGAAGATCGGAATTAGTCCTGGAGTTAAAGAAAATTCTTCAAGATCTTAATATTAAATATCATCTGCTGCCACAAGAAGTTCATGTCAATTATGTAAGGTCACCAGACTCAACATTGCAAGCAGTTTGAATTTCCTTTATCGTTTTCAGAGGTGCAAGTCTGTAGCAGAGTTTCTGTGCTGTTATTATCTTGGTTCTAGACTGATTGTCTCCACATACTCTTTTTTTCTAATTTGAAATAAGAAATGGTGTGACAAATGTATGATTTAGTTGGTTCTTGGAAACTGGTGATTTTGGTTTCTACACTTATTTTATTTGAGTTAAAAATCTAAGATTTTTTATTTTCAGTTTAAATTTTTAAACATAAAAAGAAGGTAAATCCTTGAATTTTACAAAGAATATTATTATGGTAATTTTTAAAGTTAGTATTTGGTCTTTAAAGCATAAAATAAAATAAAATGTATAACTGATCATCAAAATAAAGATTGAGCAAATTCTAAAAAACAATATTAAATTTCTTTCAAGTTTTTTAAAGAGAAGAAAAATCCAACAAAAATGAAAGAAGAATTAAAGTCACTAAATAATAAAAACATAAATAAAATGCAATATTTGAAAATAAGAATTTTAAATGGTCATGTGAAAAAAGTCAAAGAAGTTGTTGTACAAGAATTTAAATATCTTGACTAATTCTGACACTTTCGGCTTTTACACAGCATCATTATAAATGCTTTACTTTGTCACATCACCCTCCTCCCCTTATTTGTTTATATTAATAAATTAATAAATAATCGACACTTTTATTATGATTTTCGAAATTTTACTTGGTGTTGTGACATTGTTTCCATGGAGACAATTCTATGTATAAGAAAGAGTTGGTACAATATAACATAATAATTTATTTAATGTAGCTATAACTCAAATTTACCACTAATACTACTCAATATAAATCAAACATATAAAAAATAAGATTAATAATTTCAATATCAAACATTCATCTTAAAATAGCTTTATTTGTACAATAGTTATATATATAACAAATAAATGTTAAAAGTACAAAAATATTATAATAAAGCTAATAAAATATCATCAAATTAATAAAAATAAATTAGTTAGAATAATAATATTTTCCAATAATCGGTTGGATTGTAATTTAGTTGCATATACGACCAAAATCTTGAGAAAAAAAATAGTTTAGATAAAAAAACTTATTTTAAATTAAATTTTATTCCATTAAAAATAAGTTTATCACCTTTTAACGAGTAATTTTCTTTTGAGAAAAATAAGAAGAAAAAAAGCGGAAAGATGCGCATCTTTATAGTTGTTTGTTTTTTCCTATTACATTTTTATAAATGTCCCGTCTTCGACGCCTTGAAAGCATGTTGGTTTCAAGGTTTCAAAATTTCTTGGATGAATAAATAAGAAACACAAAAAATAAGAAACTTTCTGTGTTAACATTAAAATTTTATGGAAATTTAGGAAATTGTTTATGTATTTAACATTTTATTGTATTTATGTTTAAAATTTTATTATATTTATGTTTATAATTTTACCATATTTATTGTTTTTTATTATAATAAAAATAATAATACTGTAATAATAAATAAATACATTTTACTTTTCCTATATTTTCACTTTATTTCTTTTCACATAAACCATTTTACTTTCATATTTTTTCTCTTTCTCTCTTTCATTTTTTTACTCCTTTACTTCTCATCGTATTCAAACAAAATACTAATAACTTTTTTTTGGTAACGTTAAAACAATAAGTTTTTTTTCATAATTTTCCTTAATTTAATTAATCTAAAAATTAGTTAAGGTAAGAAATAGAAAAAAATATAATAGTATACAAATGCACATAAAAATAAAACATTAAACTTTAATACATAATTAAATTAAAATTACGTTAAATTTAAAAAAACAAATTCTTAATTTAGGGGAAAAAATTCAATGAACTATTATACGTAGAAAATATAAGCAATAAAAATTACAATTTACAGAAAAAAGAACATCAAGTTGTGAAAATGAAAAGTTACTATAATAGATTTTATCTTTCTAATTATATAGCATTCCATTATATGTTATGAATATTTACTATATATAATTCTATCATAAATAATTTATCAATATATTTACAATTTTTATTATAAAAGTAATAAAAAATCATACTAAATAAGAAATAAAACTATTAATAATACATAAACTTATTTCACATCTTATTTATTTTTGTATTTTTTGTATTTAACTTAAACAATCTCACTTTTTGATGGTTTTTATATTTTTTTAATTTTCTATTCCTCCATTTCCCTCTATATTCCCAAAATAAGGGAGTTTCAAACCTTCCTGAACATTTCTTTCTGACTTCACCAACCCCAGTTGAACCTTCTCCAAGTTTCAGCTTCAATGTTGCAGAAAACGGTTGTTGCACTCCTAGAAATCTAAGACCTGCTTTTTGGAGAAGTCAGAAACTAAAAAGTTGTCACCTTGACATGGAAGAAGAAGGAGACGTGGCAGACAAGAAAAAGACAAAGAACGAGGTGGTTCTACGAATTTCAGACACTGAAGAAGCCATTAATACAAAGGAGCAAAGGGTTTCCAGAAGCTTCCCAGTAGCTGAAAACAGTTCCCTTTCTCCTCAGCATAATACTCAGATAGGTAAAGGGTTTACAGATTCTCATGGTGAAATCACAGAGTGCAATGGTCAAGTATCCGCAGAGTTGGTGACAACTACAAAGAGGTTGATGGGTCGGTCGGAGTTTTCAAAACCAAAGTCCAGAATGGTGGAACCAACGTGTCCAAAAGATGCAAACTTTGTCGAAGAAAAGGCTCAAAAGACAAGTTCACCTGCAAGGAATTCTCCTAACAAGAAAGTTCCTGACGCTACTGTTGTCACCCCAAGAAGCCCCTTCCTTGGGACACCAGGGGAAGAAGAAGATGATGACGAAGAAGTGTACAAGACTGCAAATGTTGAAGTGAGCAAGAGATCTGGTAAGAAGTGGAGAGTTGTAGAGTTGTTTGCTTTTGCTTGCATCGTGGGGTTTTTTGTTGCATGCTTGACTGTGAATGAATTGAAAAAAAGGTTGATTTGGGGATTGGAACTGTGGAAATGGTGTGTATTGGCTTTGGTTGTCCTCTGTGGTAGACTGGTCACTGAGTGGTTTATCAATATTTTGGTTTTCTTGATTGAGAGGAACTTTTTGTTTAAGAAGAAGGTTTTGTATTTTGTCTATGGTGTGAAGAAGAGTGTTCAGGGCTTTATATGGCTAAGTTTGGTTCTTCTGACATGGGGACTGCTTTTCAACCATGGAGTGGAGAGAACCAGAAAGGTTACTAAGATTCTTAATTACATTACTAGGGCCCTTGCTTCTTGTCTTCTTGGAGCAGCTATATGGTTGGTCAAAACATTGTTGATAAAACTTTTAGCTTCAAAATTTCAATCTACTAGATTTTTTGACAGGGTGCAAGAATCAATCTTTCATCAATACATTCTCAAGACTCTTTCAGGTCCTCCCTTGAGGGAGGTGGCTGAAAATGTAGGTTGGATTTCAAATAGTCAGCAACTCAGTTTTAAGACCATGAATAATGAGAATGAAGGGGAGAAAGAACAAGTCATTGATGTAGACAAGCTCAAGAAAATGAAACCAGAAAAAGTTTCTGCTTGGACTATGAAAGGTTTGATTAATGTGATAAAGAGTTCTGGGTTGTCTACCATCTCCTATGCACCAGACGAAGATGAGAATGACCAGAAAGATAATGAAATTAATAGCGAGTGGGAAGCAAAGGCAGCTGCATACAGAATTTTCGGGAACGTAGCCAAGCCAGGACACATGTAACATTGTTACCCTTTGAAAACTCTGCAACTTTTTTTTTTCTTTTCTGATTCAGTTTCTCTGGAATTGCCTCTTGTTCTCATTTCACCCTCAAATATTTCAGTTATATTGATAAGGATGACCTCTTGCGATTCATGAAAAATGAAGAAGTGGAAAACTTGCTTCCACTATTTGAAGGTGCAGTTGAGACTAGAAGAATTAAGAGGAAGTCTCTCAAGAACTGGCTGGTGAAGTCACTTCATATAGTCTATATAATGTTTACTGAGAGCATTTACAAAGTTCCAATTTCCAAAATGTTTCCTTTGTCAGATAATTTCCTTTAACATTGTTGTCTTATCCTATGAATTGGTTGAACAATATATGAGGTCCAATTTCTTTCAATTTTGCTGCACTAAACTTGTGGAATGTATATAGTTGATGCTCACTTATATATTTGTTAAGTTATCAAGTTAAAACTCATTCCAATGCCACAAGCATGATGGTCACATATTATTCTTATTTGCAGGTAAAAGTCTACTTTGAACGCCGGTCGCTCGTACATTCACTAAATGATACCAACACAGCTGTTGATGACTTGAATATGCTTGCTTCTTTCCTTGTGCTTATTGTGATCCTTATTGTGTGGCTTCTTATAATGGGCTTCTTGACAACTGAAGTTCTTGTCTTTATTTCATCCCAGCTTTTACTTGTGGTTTTCATGTTTGGCAACACAGCTAAGACTGTATTTGAAGCCATTATATTTGTTTTTGTGATGCACCCTTTTGATGTTGGTGATCGTTGTGTTATTGATGGAGTTCAG